ACTATGTGTTTTTTCCTTATTGTATTATGCTGTAAAATTACAACACTACAACAAAAATGTACCGAAGAAAATAAAATTAAACAATTGACGACCTCTACTCGATTCTAAGAAAATCAAGATTGTAACGACAGCGCAGTGGCGTCCGCAGGATTTTTCAATGGGGGGGGGGGGCTTGAAAATTAGTTACAATTTTCTTTTCAATTTGTCCAGTCTAATAATTTCAGACGTTTATTTGAGGTATTTTAAAATGTTTGTAACTTTTCAACTTTTCTGGTAAAAAAAATGCTCTGATCATAAGCTTCAATGCTCAGTGTATATAATTGGAAGCAAATTGGATCTAGTTGGTACTATTAGGAGGTTGAAATTTAAAATGCTCAGTGCTTTTAAACATAATTTGAGAAAAAAAATGAAAATTTATTTAAATGTTTGGTTATACCGTCTTCACTTGGATTGTACTTGAATAATTAAATTTTTTTTTTCTATAAATGTCAATAAAAAATTATTTATCCGGTCAAAAAGCTTAAAAATGTAATACGTAAGTTTTTTTACTATAGCTAAAATATTAACGATACATAGGCATCATGCTTATTTTTTAAAAGCATTTAAAGTTCAAATTTCTTCAAAACCACAGTTAGTTTGTAGTTCAAAACTTATAAAATATTAAATGTGTATAGCTAAGGCTAGACAATTTAATACAAAGTCTTTCATTCAAATAGTTCATACTTTTACAGAAAAATTACAGTTAATTTATGAAAATTGGTATGTTACAAATACAATGTTTTTTCAAAAATGAATTCATTCTGGTAAGACATATTTGAAATGTACGTCTTGCTTACTATAGTTGACGGTTTAACATTAATATTTTTTTGAAAAAGTAATAATAATATGGGTAATGGGGGGGGGCTTTAGCCCTTTATCTCCCCCTGCGGACGTCACTGCGACAGCGTATAATTCAGCAATCATGGAAGATACTAAAACCAAACTTCTAGGTAATATTCAATACAATAATAGTATAATACAATAAGCAAAATACCCATGGTAAATACTACATTTTTTGGAGTTATACTACGCCACTTATTACTTTTAAAAATATTAATTTTTGATAAAAATAATTACTTTTTCAAATTAATAAAAATAATTTGTACATTTCTGGTTTAATTGCGTACTTTGATTGATAGAACACTTAAATAGCTTTGAGATAAAAAAAAAAATTCCGTCAAAATGTTGATTAGTTTTGAAGATACATAAGAAAATGTGTGATAGGTTTGATTTTGATAAAAAAAGTTAACTGCCCATAACTTAAAGAATAAAAAAGTTAGACCCACTCTTTAAAGGGTATTTCTTCATCATTTTGGGTATACTTTCGTAGTTTCGTATGACGTCGGACGGTCACACGTTGTATATACACATATATAATTATACTGTACGTGTGTTGTGATTGAACTCCTCCTAAACGGTTGGACCGATTTGAATGAATTTTTTTGAATGCGTTTGGGTGACGCCCCGGATTGTTTAGATTCACAAATCATCCCCCTGGGTCCAACCAGGGGATGTGCTCAAACCGGGATTTAGAGATTTACGGTGGAAAATGTTTGTTTATAGATGGTTGATATGGGTTTTAAAACTATTAAAATAATAATTATTTGTGGCCGTAAAATCAGTGTATTCGTTCAATGCATTTAATTTTTTATACGCTGTGTTTTGATGTTATATTTATTGAAATTACGTAAATATTGAGCGTATTAAACTCACATATAAGTTACGTACATAAAACAATGCCACGTCTTCGTGGACGAGGAGGAAATATTGGTCGACAGACTCGGCATTAGTCCAGCCGTTTAGGAGGAGTTCAGTGACATACTTGGTATAACTTTTATACTTTAGAGTTAAATTATAAAGTTAAAACGTACAAACAGCTCGACGGCATAGTTGATCGGCGGACAAGAGAGACAGGGTAACTAACGGCAGTCGCGCCGCCGTACCGGCACAGTCATGGAGATAACCAGTTAGGCCGATGTCATCATGTCGGAAGGTAGGGGGTGCGCATGCAAAGTCGTCGTCCGACACGTAGGCTCGCAAACCGTGCGATATGCAATTATCGATAAATAGCGTAAACAGTTACTATATATGTAACTAAAAGTATCGTGTGTTAGGTATTCAGAACTCTTTTTCTTATACCATACTTACGACAATTAGAAGTTTTTTCCGCGATTCGCATTGGAATAATAACAAGGTGAACAATTAAGTAAGTAAAATTTAATGACATAAATAAATAAACGCTTTGAGTAGGCATCATATTATAATACGTACCAAAAAATAGTAAACTAGTAATAAACAACAAATACATGCATATTATTTATAGGTATATAAATATATTGGGCGCCCAAGAACAACATAATTATGTAATGTACAATATAATGTAGTACAATGATACATGAATAAACTTATTGGGTAGGTCGTAGGTAAACAGTACCGAAAAAAATATAATAAATATAAAAAACAAATTTATATGTAGGATTATAAAATAATGTAATGTACATTTATAATAAATATTAAGCAAGATGTATTATATGATAATTTACAATATTATAAGGAATAAAGGGTGTAGTTAATTACACATAAATATTAAATAAACAGTAGAGGTACATATTTATTCAGTTACACAAAAAAAACGGGTGCCCAAAGAATAATTAGGTAAATAATTAAAACATAATTTGAATGAGTTATAAAAATGTAAAAGTATAAAGGATGTAGGTATAACAGCACTTAGATAATAACGTAAATTTTGTATAAGGTATAAGGTATTCAGTAGGTACCGTAAAAAAAAAAAATTCAACAATAATATGTAGTTATATATATAACCCAAAAGAATAAATACAAAAAATATCAACACTATGTAATATGATGATTTTATAAGACGAATATTGATAACAATATTTTATCTCCAACTGTCGAAGTTCGAAATTCATTTTATACAGCCACCGAAGGGTGGCGATGGGTGACGACTTGTGGACACACGGACGGGGGTTACGCACAGGGCGGATTACCGGTCCACAAGCTCGCACACCACAATCACGTTAAATATCCATCGGCAGACTGCTCTGGTTAATACCTCGTGGATACGCCAGTGGCACTCAAGTGCAGGCTCGACGTTCCAAGACGGCCGTGACACTCAAGTTCAGGCTTGGCGTTGAACGGACGAGGCGTGATGATGGATGCGAATGTCAAAAGACGGCGGCAACAAGCACAGTTGTTCACCCCGGTATACAGACACGCAGGCCAACGCACATGTGAGCCGTTGCTGATGACTCCATCAGACCAATCACGTTCGCCGTTGATTCAGGACGAAGTCTAACGGTAATGTCGCACGTTCGACGAGGTTTTTAGAAAGATAGCCAAACAAGTTCGCGACGATTGGCCTGTCACAAAATTCAATATGAAAACATCATTATAAAATAATCAGTCAATAACACAAAATTATTATTATATAATTATCTAAGCTAATACACATTTTCCACTAAAGGAGCTTTTAAAACACCATAAAAAAAAATTAAATCTCATCAAAATCCCAGCTTACTTATTTTTATAATAATAATAACAGTCAATATTCCAGATGTGAAAATCAATATATTATTAACTGCAATTATGCAGTTATTAAACAGCCACACAAAAATTTAAACTTACAATTTATTCATAGTTAAAAATAATATTGTTATATCAAAGAAATGTATTATAATTACAACTATTATGTGTCTGTTTAAATAACTATTCTAATATTGTTATATTATTACAGCATTGGTATATTATTTTTAGAACAACTATATTTATGATAATAATAACCAATATCTATCAGTTGGAATAATTATTACTTGCTTGATTATTCATAAACCATGTTTGCGTTAAACCAACTTATATTATGGTTTATTTAACAAAGACTATAGGTAGTTAAAATATTTTAACTATTTAATTTTGTAAAATCAACATAAAAATAAAGCTAGAATATTGAACCGTGAAGCGTTTTTAGGGTTATGTAGATACTTATGTACTTATGTACAACGAGTTGTTAAATTTTAATTTCTGCAACCAGAAATTGTTCGTTATTTTCTTTAATCTTTTACAGTTTACTGTATGTAACTGAGTGCTACTGTGTTCCGATTCCAGTGTTCGTCAACGTTTAAACGTCAACAGCTATTTTCAGGTATATATCTTTTACTTTAATAACTATAATCCTTATATTATTGTTACTTATTACAATTATTTTAGAGGAAAAAATAGATAGAATGGCTTTTTTAGACTTGACAGAATCAATGGTAGCTAGATTGATTCCAAAAATGGGACCACAATCCAAATTCTTGAAAATACTACGGACGTTAAGAGAAGAAATCCAGAGGGATAAATTAGGTTACTTATTTAGTATTATTTATTATTATACCTTCCATTAATTCTTAGGTACTTTGGATAGTTAATCAAATAGATTAATGAAAGTATTATTATACAAGTAGACATTCTCAAACTGTTTGTTACTAGGAAATAGCATCAACAGAATCTAGTATCAGTGCATCTGGTGCATTCGGTTCTTTGAATTTAACCTAACATTGATAATATTGCAAAATTTGAAATTCTTACTACACAAAAAAATTTAAAGGTTAGATGCTGGAGAAATATGCATTAAAGGCAGTTTATGCCAGGTAGTGCCAGTATTGGTGGAAGCAATCCAAAAGGCGTCTAACTCTTGAATGGTAATATTATTACGGTACGCTATACTTATTATTATTATTACTGATTTAATATTCGTGGATTATTTATAAAATAAAATGTTTCGATGGTCTATTAAATATATAAATAACAACGAAACCCTATTATAACTTAAAAAAATTTGAAAAAAAAACACAAAAATTGGTGAAGATGCATTTACGCCAAGTTGCGCTGCTGAGAGCTATATAGTAGTAGTATGTACTTACATCAAAATATGAGTTCCCTTTACGTCTCGAGGTAGCGATTTACATGCCCGCCGTCCAGAATACGGCCAATGGTGTCAGAACGATTACCGAAAAAAAAGTGACGTCGGACACGTCCGAAGATGTCTTCCGATCGTGGTCCAACTGGACTTGGCCATGGTCGTCCACTGATTCGATTGGGCCCCTGTTAAGAGCTATCACGAGCGGCACCACGGTATCGTTGTCGAGCAACTGATGTGCGCTAGTCGGCCGCAGGGTGGAACAGCGTCTGGTGACCACCGCTGGCATCCAGGACGCCGGTAACAGCACGGGCCACCCGGGTCGCCATGGTACCATCAACAAATGTGGCCGGGTATCTCTGTCGTAAAATGCACAACTAGTCAACGCATTTGGTGCATGGTCATTTACTGGTTCGTTTGGGCCCCTGTAACGAGCTGTATCGAGCGGCAGCATGGTCTGGTCGTCCAGCAACTGATGTGCGCTTGTCGGCCGTGGTATAGAACAGCGTCTGGTGACCACCGCTGGCATCCAGGACGCCGGTAACAGCACGGGCCACCCGGGTCGCCATGGCACCATCAACAAATGTGGCCGGGTATCTCTGTCGTAAAATGCACAACTGGTCAATGAATTTGACGCATGGTCGTCCGCTGGCCGCACCACTTGCAGCACCGTTTGCCGTTAATAACTAATAAGCATATAAATTATGTTTTTTGTACCTCAGTGATTTGAGTAAATATGTCACCCATAAACCCATTGACAACACTCCTATGTAATCTTCGCATCATAATATGATATGTACATAAAAATTGGGTAACGAAGTGTTTAAAAAATAAACATTAATTAATAGTACATATTTTATTTATTAATTTGATTTTTAAAAATTCTATCATTATTATTTTTTTGTATATGTATTAGGAAGATAGTGATTTTATTTGTTGAAGTTATCAATTTTTGATAGTATTAATAATTTTTTGTTATTAGATTGGTACCTATGTTTTATACCTCATACTGTAGGTATTGTAACTTTAAAGGTGAAACGATTTATGGATTTGATTGCATATTTAAATATTTGTCAATTTTAGCTCATCCGACTTCTAAAGTTCTTTAATGATTATCTATAATGATTACCTATACCAGAGATGGACAACTCAATGATACTAGAGGGCCAATTTTGAATGTGCAAAAATCTAATACAGTGGCGTAATTACGGGGGGGGGGGATTTGGGTGTCGTATCCCCCCCCTTGACCATTTTTTTTTTTTTGTTTAATCATCAAACACATTTATGTACTAATTTTATTAATATATATTTCATAGATAATACAAAAATTACCCGAATCTCCATAATATTATACAAATATATAATCATCCATCAATATTATCATATACAGTGTGATCACGATTTTAGGTACCACTGAATATCACAGATGGATGACTTTGTATTGAAATGGGGTTTTCGGGAGGTGATAGAGAGCACTTAAATACATATTTTCAGACCAGTTTCAAATTTTTAGCTCACTCGGTACGCGCATGCCGCATGCGCAATATTACTTTTTTTTTAAATGGCAATCCCAGTTTTTTCTGCAGATTCAGGTAGAGTATTTATTTTTGAACATTTATTGAACATTTATGCATAATTCGTGTTTAATGATATTTTCATTTATAACCAGTTGAAATAATAAAATAAGAGCCAAATAAATGTTTAATGGCGGACGGAAATCGGCCACAACCGACGCCTTAGTCCACTCAGCCACCCTCCCCCCCTAATCAAACATTTATTTGGCACTTATTTTACTATTTCAACTGGTTATAAATGCAAATTGCATTAAACACGTATTATGAATAAATCCAAAATTTGACTTTCTCTAACTTGGTAAGTTTTATAAATAGAAAAACTTTCAATACAAAAAATGTTTAAAAAAAAATACTCTACCCGAATCTGTAGAAAAAAAGTGGGGTTGCCATTTAACAAAAAGTAAGTCAAATTGCGCATGCGCATACCGAGTGAGCTAAACATTTTAAACTGGTCTGAAAATATGTATTTAAGTGCTTCCTATCGGCTATCACCTCCCGAAAACCCCATTTCAAAACAAAGTCAGCCATCTGAGATATTCAGTGGTACCTAAAATCGTGATCACACTGTGATACAATTATATTCTTTTAAAATAGCCAAAATAAGATGCTAATATTCTCTTAAAAAGTTGAAAATATTCTTCCAATATTCTTTAAAAATAATAATAAAATATGCAAAAAAAAAATGCTTTTTTATTAAAATATTCTCTTGAACTAAAAATATGCATTTATATGCAAAATAATTAAGCAAATAATACGAACTCATATAAATAAATAGGGACATAATATGCAAAATAATATAAAAACCTGATATAAATAGGTACCTACATAATAAAAAATACTACTTGTTAAGAAAAGTTTGATTTAATATTTAATTATTTTAAATTTTAAATTTTTAACTAAGAAAATGTTTGAAAACAGTTGACAACTATATTTTGTTCCATGTTCCCTGATGTCATATTTGTACAACGGTCGGTTAAAATGTTTTTATATGTGCTATTTATATTATTTAGGCCACTGCAACAAAAAATATCGAATATCTACAAAAATTAATCGATATATTCTCTAATATTTTTTATTATACGAAATATTCTTTTATCTTGAAATATTCCCAAATATGCAAAATAAACTTTTGCCATTAACTCACCTGTTTCATGATTTGTAAAGATTTCGAACCCCCGTCTGACTGCATAGACTCAAAAAAAATATGCAAAAGTATATAATTCCGGCTACTAGTTATTACATACAGATCATAATGGTTGTATTCTTGTATTGAGGGGTGCTTATTGCTTATAGCTTATGCCTTATACGGTTAAAAAAAATGTTGAGGGGGGGGGGGGTAATTGGTGAAATGTACATACATTTCATCCCCCCCCACAACCATGACCAAATTACGCCACTGATCTAATACCAATAGAAAGATATTTTGCGTTAGCAATAATGACAATTTAATCAGAAATAACAAGTAGGTAAAGCAGATTTTTAAGAAATGATTACTTTATTTTAAAATTTCAAATCTAGGAGAGGGTTATAAATTTATAAATGTATCTAGACTGTTTTTATTAGATAATTAAATTAACATCATAAAAATGTAATAGATAATAATAAATAAATAAAAAATATATTATTTTAATTTTCTATTTAATTTTTTAGTTTATAAATTTATAAATGTATATAGACTGTTTTTATTAGATAATTAAATTAACATCATAAAAAATGTAATAGATAATAATAAATAAATAAAAGATATATTATTTTAATTTCCTATTTCATTTTTTATAGGTATAGTGCCTAGCTGTATATTATTATCATAACTACTAAATTGTTTCAAGAATTCAATATACCTACTTATGTACAGTAAACACATTTTACTGTAAGTAAAAATAATATTAAACTCTTAAAGAATCATGTTAACTTTTATTTTACTTATAACTATCTACATTGGCTTTCCTTATGATTTACTTAAGAGTAAACCAATGGATGAAATAATGAAATATTTTGACAAATGCAGTTTAGTTTCTAAGCGATTTTTTTTTTCAAAATTTGAGTTTTTACATCCTCGACATAGGTATTGGTCGATTTGGAAATTACATATCATACTTACTTTTTATTTTATTTCAATTTAACTGTTAAATTTTATTGTTGGGTTATTTAATTTAATTTTAAGTAATTTAATTTGAAAAAATGCCATGGGAATACGGAAACTCACGGATTTTAAAAAGCTATATAATAAATTTTAAACTAATAAGTCCGACCGAAAATTTCGATTTCACCATTGTTCTTAACTAATTGTTGTGCTCGTACGGGTTGTTCCGTTTGAACGTTGTTATTTCGGTAGTGTGAGGGTTCAATTTTTGGAGAGAGTACAACAAAACAGTTTTAAAGATTTAAATACTAATATAATTTTATTGTGAGTAGAAATTTATAATTCACTGTAATATTTATAATTGACTGTCAGAACGACGTACAGGTTTAAAAGAGCTAAGACGACTGACTCCACGGTTCCCTAGCGGCTGCCGTGTAGCTGCAATATTCCGGGAGTCGCCCACACATTAGGCGTTACCCGCAGACTACAATAATATACTCTTATATTCTAATACAAAGGGCTAATACTATATACTAATAGCTAATGCGTTCATAACACCCCCCGGGTTAGACGGAAGATCATGACCCTAGATTTACAAAATTATTTTGGGTGATGATTTTCCTTCCTTTAGAACTACTGTTTCTATGTTGTCTGGTTCCGTCAAACTCGGTTGGCTTACATTTTTTATTTTGCGTTTGTATACTATAATTATTATGATTAAGCTAAATATTATAATTAACAATATTATACAAGTACAACTAATCAAACCAATATTTGCTATTATTGGTTCGTTATTTGTATTGTTCTGGGTTACAACTTCATTTTCTTCATAATTTTCAAAAATAGACTCCGAAGGTAGTACATTTTTTACATAAGGGGTTTTATGGGTGTAGCGAGATATATTTATGTTTGGTATAATGTCCGAATCTATATCAGAATACATAGTTCTGAATGGTATCATATGATAACCTGCAGATGAGGCGGAACATTGTTCACTAAGAGATATAATTCCTGTACCATAAATTTGTTTAATAATTTGATTGTAATTTAAACAGGTAATAATTAAATTTTGTTGATTTACTGTGTATAACCATGAATTTGCCGACATTAACTTATGGAAAATACCGTGTTTGATTGACGTGTATTTAAACTTACAAACATTTTCAATATTTGCTGATTTTGTGTTAATAATTAAATTGAGTTCGCAATCATCTGATGTTGTCACCCTCTGAGTTACAAGATTTTTACATACTTTAAAATGTTTTGTGTCGTAGCACATACTAAATTCGTTTTGATCTAAATTTACATAATACTCTTGATCGATAGTTAAAGCTAAATACTTAATTCTAGGTTTAATGAACATATAAATATTGTTTTCTATTAACATTGGATTCGGTATAATATTATATAAATTGTATAAAGTACTAGAAACAATTGGTACAGTATTAATAAACATAATTATATCATTATTTCTAACAATAGTTGTTTGCATAATTTTAAAAATCTCTGACATATCCGATAGGTCTAGTTTTACCGGGATGTCTAAATTAGATGGAAGGTTTAATTTAATTGTTTTAATTTCTTCTAATAATTGTGCTGAGGATATTACTAATGGATGTAGTTTTCCCTGTATAGCAAAATGTAAGATTTGATTTATTCTCGTTAATTCCAAAGAGTATTGTTTGTAAATTGTTTGTAAATTTAAAATTTGGTTTTTAATTATTTTTTCCATATTATCATCGTTAAAGTTATCCCTGTCGGAAGTAATATAATGTCGAATTTTTCTAATATTATTTGAAAATTTACTACATAAATCTAGAATCACTTCTTTTTCTTCTGTGTTCATATGGTCACATTTCAGTGAGTTCTTCAGGAGTTGGATACGGTTTCCCGTATTTACACTAGTGTTATTTGTCTGTAAGTTATCCATTGAAACTATATCGAAAATTTCATGTGATAAATCCGATAGTTTTTGTATTGGTATAACTTGAGTTTCCTCTGTTGGGTTCATAACATTTATTAGTACTTGATTATTTTTCACAATATTTAATATATTTCCACACAAAATATTTTCACCTATTTTCTGTGAATGGTGTAACGATTCTGAATGTACGTACCACTCCTTTCTCCGCTAGTCCGCGCCACCAATACTGCGCGCCCGAGTACCGATACGACATTTCGCTCGCGGACTAACGGTAGATCGCGCTCAAGGACAACTCATCATAGATCCGATTGGGGATCGCTGATTAAGGATACAATTGGTCCCTCCAGGGTGGATTAATGATAGCAAACTAGTAAGGGCATACATTCTGAACAGATTACTATGTCCATACAAACCCCTATCGACCCGGGAAACCCTCAGCGGCATCGAAACGGGTATGTCGTCATTCGCTAGGCTGACAGTCGGGAATGAGCGCAACAGCACATATAGGTAGGCCCGACGGCCGGCTCACCGATTCCGCTTTTCCGACCAAAATACTGGTAGGAATAGACACCACCGTCCAGAGTCGTGGGTAAGGCATTAAAACCCCTTACTGTCCGACTGCCTGGTACCGTGCCTATTCCCACCAGTAGTCGTAACTCTCTTTTTTCTGCGTCCGTATACGCCTATAAGACTCCTTACTTTCCAACCATATCAAACGGCGTAGTGTAACAGTCCGGGTACGGCATTAATACCCCGTACTGACGATCGTTATACTACGATACGCGATTTGGTCGATGTGAAAGGAGTCTAGTAATTTACACTCTCTTATCGCTCTAAGAAGCAAGTAGTAAATTGTTAGGGTGCCGTTGAAGGTGAATATATTGGCTACTGCTGCAAAAACTGTAAGTCGGATTTTATTGTTATTTCCAATTATACTAAAACGTACCGAAATTATATTTTGTTTGTATTAAATTTTACTTATTATAATTATTATATTTGAATTATATTCCTATCTTGATTTTACCCGTAATCGGACATCCGGGATAATTAAATTCGTATTACTACGTGTATATTATATTCTATGTTCTATATTGTATTTTGTTTTATGAATTTGTTTACGTCAATACAATAAATGATATTAACCTTAATGAATATGTGTTCCGTTCATTACATTTGGCGCCCAACGCGAAGCTCGAATTTTCACGACCACCACTAAGAATATCGTGCTCTACCTACTATAAAACTACATCTATAAATCAACATGGCTCCGAAAAAGAGACTTGATAACAACGAAGAAAATATTATGGACAGAATTGAAGCATTAGAAAAATCTGTTGAAAACAGAATAAAAAATCTGGAGAATAAAATGAAAGGAAAATACGATGAAAAAATCGAGGAAATGAAAGAAAAATACAATGAAAAAACCGAGGAAATAAAAAGAAAATACGATAACAAACTGGAAGAAACAGAAAAAAAGAACGAAGAAAGAGCGAGAAAAGCTAAAGAAAATATGGAAGAAGAAATAGAAAAACTTAAACAGAGATGGGAAGAAATCTATAAGAAAAAGACGGAAGACAATGAAATCAGATATCAAAGGTACATGGACGAGATGGAAGAAAGATATTTAAATACGTTTCGCAACTTGGATGAAACAAGACAAACGCAACTCAGAGAAGAAAACTGTCGGCCTCAAAGACAAGCCACCGACATCACAAAACCCACGTTTTACGGAAATCGTCGGGACCAACACCCAAGAGATTTCATAAGTGAACTACGAGAATATTTTGCAATAAAACAGATTTACGATGAAGAAAAGCTGATTGTGGTAAAAGACTGTTTGAAAAGCACCGCGGGCAGTTGGTTTTTGGCAATAAGATTCCAACTTAGGAATTACGAAGAATTCGAAAGAGTATTTATCGATGAATACTGGTCCAAAGAGATTCAGATCCAGGTCTGGAGCCAATGCCTAAACGTCACACAAATCGCGGCTGACGTAAAATATCGGGAACACTTCATGTACTGGGCCACGAACCTCCGACACTTGGAAATGCCATACCTTAGCGAGGGTGAAATTGTACAAAACATTGCCGGACACTACCCCGGGTACTTAAGGGCAATACTGACCTCTCTACCACAAAAAACAATATTAAATGCGATGAAGGTCCTCGGAGCCGAAGAACATCGAAGGAGGGTACCAACGAGAGACAGTAATCCACGGAACGGCAATGACAATAATCAACGCCATAGCAACAATCCACGGAACACTAATGACAATAACTCACGTCATAACAATGGTTATAACCGACCAAACAACACCAATCAGCAATATGGTAGATGGCGGGAAAACCAAAATGGTAATACACAAAATGCAGAAAATAATAGAAACTTCAACCAACCAGGGCAAAACAGTAATCAATGGAGAGACCAACAACAAGTTCGACAGATAACAGTTGAAGAGAACGAGGGGGAAGAACCAGCAGAAGAAATCACACATACGATAAATAATATTCCCACGAACAAGAAGACCATCAGTCCATACCTACAATGCAACATAGAGGGAGAAAGAGTCAACCTACTAATTGACACCGGAGCCACGGTAAGCGTCTTGGCTAAAGAAGTCGTCGACCGCATACTGAAAAAGAACCCAACTGTGCCCACACTACCGGTAAATGGAGTCCAGATCAGCAACGCAATCGGTAAGAAGCTATGTAAAGTTTCGAAGCAAATATACTGCTCATGCGAACTCAATGAAGCAGATATATTGGTAACATTTGTACAGATGGAAAATCTCAACGAACGGGGAATCATCGGTACTGACGTATTAGACAAGTATGACGCACAGATCGATTTTCAAAATAAAACGATCAGATGGCGTATCAATGAAAAGGAACATATAACACCATTCAGAGAACAGGAAACTAGTGAACCAGGGGACAGTACTGCACTCCAACAAGTTGAAATTGCCAAGGAAAGAATAAGTGAGGGAAAACTACTCCCAGAAGAAATTGTCATATTCAACGAACTATTATGGAAATATGAACACATATTCTCAGAGAATACAGGCAAAATTACAAACCACAAAGCACTGACGTTTCTCAATCAATGCCAACTACTGAATGCGCGGTTGACGAGATGGGCCATCAAACTACAAGAGTTCGACCTGCAAATAACCCATGTTCCCGGAAAGGACAACATTGGAGCAGACACTTTAACCCGATACCCACAAAGTCCAGGGGACAGGGATGAAATACAAAAAACAACTATTTACATCAATAAAATGCTACACAACCAGTATAGCACGAAGCTATTACGACAATTCGAACAGATGAAGGATCTCCAAGACCAAGATGAAGAGTTGAATATTATCCGAGACCGCATCAAAACGCATGAAACCCACAGGTACAAAATACACCAGGGATTACTCTTCTTCATTGATAAAGACGGAAGAGAGAAACTCATGCTCCCCAAAATTATGGTACAAGACATAGTGATAGAAACTCACGAATTATTCGGACATTTTGGAGCAGCTAAAGTACACGACATGCTACGAAGAGAATATCAGATACACAAGATGTACCACACCATCAAACAAATAATCAAGCGATGTGATATATGTCAAAGAAGCAAGATCCCAAACCAAAATACTAGGGGACCGTTGATGGCAAACATTCCCGAGAAACCCAAAGAAAGGATTTCACTGGACTTGATGGGGCCGTTACCAAAAGGACAGTTTGGAAACCAATACATTTTAGTATTATTAGACCTATTCACGAAACATGTACAAATTTATGCTATGCGGAAAGCAACGGCCGGGAATATAATGCGAAAACTGCGAGATAAGTACTTACCTGCCTTTGGTCCAGTACAGAGCATTCTCACGGACAACGGTACGCAGTTCCATAGCAAAGCCTGGGAGAAACAGATGAAATTATGGGAGATACGCCACATCGTCACAACTACCTATCACCCCGAAGGGAATCCGGTTGAAAGGACGAACCGGGAAATAGGTCGTATACTACGAACCTTTTGCTACCAGAAACATACCGCCTGGGTAGGACATTTACCAAGGATCGAGTATTGGCTCAACAATGTCACTCACTTATCCACAGGCTATACCCCACAAGAACTAGTCGATGGACGCCGACACAGTTTTCGACTGAACAAACTGATCCCGGCTGACGATCCATTGTTGAATGAAGAAAAGAATACTATTATACAACTGGCATATAAAAGACTAAAGAAGACCGCGCAATACCGGTGCGAATACCATAACAAAGGAAAGAAATTCCCTAATTATGTTCAAGGCCAACAAGTCCTCCTACGAGAACATAAATTATCGTCGCTAGATGATAATACCATAAAAAAGTTCTTCTTGCTGTATCGAGGACCATATCTCATCACTGAAGTACGAAAGAATAACACCGTAGTAGTAATCTCGGAAAATGGTCAACAGTCAACTCACAATTTCAAAAACATCAAGCTATATGTACCTCCTGACCCCGGCAAGGAGATACAGAATTAACGCCAGAGACAAGAAACCAACCATCCACCACTACTATAACACTCACGCCCAGCACCAAGGCCACCACACTTCCAGTCCAGGGACCAAAACAAGGAAGGAGACTAGCTGATCCTACAAGCAAACGAAGTATCAAGAAGAAGAGTTTCGGATCCCTGCGCACTCGACCGCAGTAACACATTTAAAAAATATATATATATCTTGCCATAAGCACCAATTTTATTGTTTAAACCTTAATAGTTTCATTTTGTTTTTATTTTTCCTAAATTGTATATTGTAAAACTTTCAAGGTTACGAAAATTTTAAAGTCCCATTTACTCAAAATAAAAAAGGGGACTATGTAACGATTCTGAATGTACGTACCACTCCTTTCTCCGCTAGTCCGCGCCACCAATACTGCGCGCCCGAGTACCGATACGACATTTCGCTCGCGGACTAACGGTAGATCGCGCTCAAGGACAACTCATCATAGATCCGATTGGGGATCGCTGATTAAGGATACAATTGGTCCCTCCAGGGTGGATTAATGATAGCAAACTAGTAAGGGCATACATTCTGAACAGATTAC